GTAGTTAATTAATTGAGTGGAGCATATTAAAGAGTGTTCTGCAATAAGAGAACTCTACAAGAATGAACTCACAATTAGTGGGATACCAAGTATTATGCACGAACCCAGAAAAAAAATAATTCGAAGAATAGCTAGCCAAATGTAAAAGAAAAAGTTCAAAATTGAATTGATTCAGCATCCGTGCATGAAACAATATTTGTTTCATGATAATACATTAGTGATAATATTGTAATTTCTAAAATATTTATATATATATATTTTTTAATGCACTGTCTGCATTTCACAAGATCATACTAATCATAAAAAAAAAATTGTGTTTAATATAGTTGCCCGGAGGTTATAGTAGCAGATGACAAACATCCAATCAGTTTTGCACGTAACCCTAGCACAGCAATACTCGTGCTGCGGCCCCAAACCACCTGCGTATAAGAGCGGCAATTGTTGCCGCTGGTGCAAGAATTCGATGCGTGGTCATAGTCCTTCTTCTCACCCATCCACAACTTCATGGAATCCGCCGGAGACAATTCGGCAGAGGCCACCGCAATGTTTTCCCCATACAGCCCGTTAGAGTTCTGCGGCACACAGTCAGCAGACCTCTTGGCGGCATAGGATTCGGCGATGTCTGCTAAGGTGGAGTTCCAGTTAACAGGTGGAGATCCAACAGTTTGTCGGGCCGCGTTATGTGCAGCAACAAACCCTTTAACGCAATCAGAGTCACAGGCGGATTGTACGAAAGATGTTTGGGCAATGGCGGCTAAGGCAATTATGGAGATGGTGAGCTGCAGAAAAGAAAACTCCATTTCCTTTTTATTGTGATTTGCTGCAATAAAAAGGAAAAGTAAGAGGAAATGGAAAAATGTGTCTCTATCTGCAGAGATGCAATGGCCATTGGCATTGTGTTATAGGGTATTTATAGGATTGTTTGTATCCTAAAAGAATGGATTGCTTTTAATAATTTGTATGGCTTAGAAATACAAGAATAATGGTCACCTCACAAATATTTATAGTAGAGTATGTATAGGAAGAAAGTTAGGTAGGTTGAAAAAATTTGATGTTACACTTTATCTGCTTTGCAAGTTTTTTGTTGTCATTTGGTCTCTCAGTGACATATATTGGGTGGGGTAGAGGCAGAAGGGATTATACAATTTATGCAGATAATAAGCTAGGTTTCCCACTCCCAATTCATTAACATTCAAGATTAGCATAAACAGCACTCTGTCGGGAAATTTGGATACAAACATATTTCTTCTACTTTTATTTTACTGTATGTTATACTACTTGTCTTCATCAAAAGCTGTCAAATTGTAAGGTTTACCATTTTTATTTTTTATTTTGGGATAATAAGGTGATATTCAAATTGAAGTGTTGGTTTTATAACACTGGGTCAAAGGTTGGCCATCGTAAACTTTGGAGTGACATGTATGAAAATTAGCAAACAAAAAGATTGGCTCGGAATTATTGAATTAAATTAAATGTGTATTAATTGTGTATATTGTATTGAGTATCGAAAATCTAATTACAATCTCTTTTTTAGGGTTTATGAATACATCTTGTCTTCATCATATGGCACCTCTGGTAGACCTTAGCTTTAATGAATACATCTTTTGGAACCTGTTTTCTTTCAAACTTTAAGCTCTACCGACCACTTTCTTTATCAAATTAAAGTTTTTTTAGTTGGGTTTGTCGAAAATTCACATCTTATAACAGATAGTAAACTTTACTGGTTCATCTTACTATTATAAGATCTATTGACTTAACTTTCTTCATCTCAATTGTTGAAAGGACTATTGATTTGTGAAGCTCTACCGCGTGTTTTAAGTTCTTCGGGAACTAGGCTTTTTTGAGTAGATCATGAGATCATCTTCTAATTTGAAGGTAGATTACTATGGTGAGTTGTGATATTGATGGTTCTAAATGGGGTTTTCACTCGGGGAATAGGAATGGTGTTTAATTTTTTTTTTAAGTGAAAATATAAATAATTAGATCATTTTCAAGATTTAGATAGATGGATTTATGCAACAGTTAATCTGTCTTATGCATGTTATTAAATTCAAGTAATATTGTAATTCGCTTAGATTTCGAAAGTTGACCTCTAATTTAAAACCAACTCATGCTGGCAAATTTAGAGCAACCAATAACATTAACAATTAAAATGTGAACTAAAAGTATATAATTGTCTATGCGACGACGGATATGGTTATAAAAACTATAAACTATGGTAACGAACACTCATTGTCAACTGTAATTTAACTCATTTGACTAGAATAGTAAGCTTTCTCTTGTATGTATATGCATGTGTTATACTTTAATACAATATACTAATACACATTAATTAATTGATACTAACATAAATTTTTTCCTCTGTATACTAATTTATTATATTACTACATACGTATATACATACATGTGTATAATCAACAATAAAAAAAGAAACAAAAACCTTTAAGAGACGCATCAATTCAAACAAAATAGGAATAAAAAATGAGCACAAATAATACAATCTAAATTTCGTAATGAAGTAAACCACTAATAGATAATCAAAAAGTAGATCGATGCTATATAATCTCTTTGTATTTTTTTTTTTTTTTGGGTACATACTATGTAATCTCTCTATGACGTTGAATAACTTAATAGTACAACTAATTAAATAACGTATGATATAAAATTTCCTATCAAAGGAATGCTGTCCAAGTTTTTGGAGTTAATTATAAATATTTAGATCATTTTATAGATTTAGAAAGATGGATTTAGACCAACAATTATAAAACATTTTTTGAAGAGACATTATCTTGTAATTAAATATCTAAGTTATATTACAAAATATGTTATCGGGGCCGGTCCTATCATTTTATAGGCCCGGGACAAAGTAAAAAAGAAGGGCCCTTAATATATAAAGTTAAAGTGTTTATATATATATATATATATATATTAGTTCAAAAGATTGTGTTAATTGAAAACAATTCAAGGATAACTTTGAATTTTTATTTACATATAATTTTTTTTAAGACTTTATTAAAAAAAAAAAAATAGTTGGACTAATCCTGGAGTAGTGATCATTCAAACTTTGGGCCCCTACATGAAGTTTAATTATAAATTAATTTAATCTAATAATAAAATAATAAAAACATATTAAGTGTCAATGAAGGTTGGTACCCTTCATTTATGTCTGTTTTTCTGTTATCTTTTTTTGATACATTAAGCTATAAATGTTGTACTATATTATTTTTTGGACAACAATGCCCCTACCGTTATAACTTCAATTATCTATTTCCATTACTCTTACAATGCACTTGCATGCACCATATATTTTCTTACCTTCTTTAATTATAATAATATATGTAGATATTATGTAAGAATATGTAAAAATAAATTATTAATCATACCATAATTATTAATATACTTTTAAATATATAATATGAATTCTACAACTATAAACTTTGTGAATTTTTTAAAAATTTATAAAATTTTATTTTTAAAAAAATTATAACTATGATTTTAACATTGAATACTAATGTTGGGCATTAGTTTTACGCATCGCGCATTGAAAAAATTAGTATTCTCTTATATATATGAAGTATCTATTAATTGAATTATTATATTAAATGATTGTAATGGTTAAGTGAATTTAATGTTAAATAGTAATTTTGAAGTTGTGGGTTCAAATATATGCTCATGCAATAAAATTTTTTTTTTCTCTTAACATTATCAAAAAAATAAAAATCCAAGTTAGGGGAGCCCTTTCAACATTGGGCCCTGGCGGGTTCCCATGTTGCCCGCCCCTCTGGGCCGGCCCTGTATGTTATATATATTTGTTTACAAAGTATTTTATAGAAATATAATAAATATTAATATTTTGTTCAATAGTTACACATGATAACCTACGACACACATTTCACAACACATAAAACATGTAGGGAAAAAATTATCACTATCAAATATCAACATGTGCTTGTAAGATAAGGAGTTCATATTGTTAGAATATTTTATTCTAATCTTATTGTGTTCAAATACCATTTTGCCAGGGACAAGAGAACTGTCCCTCACTCGACATTACCACTAATTTAAGGGAATCTAAAGTGGCCAAAACAGCTAGCACGCTTTTGCCAAAGAATGGAACTACAATCCACAAGAAAAAGAGGAGAAATGTGGAGTAATTGTCGAGCTACCTATACGCTATAGCGCAGCGTTTTGTATATGTCTTCTCTCATACAAACCAATCACTTGGTCAGAAACAGCCCACACAATGGCCTGTCCAGGCAGGATCCTCATAAGCCGGGGAAGTAACCCCTTCCACAAAGCACGTATACCTTCTTCGGTACGGTGTATATAGTTGAGATGGCATGAAACAGTCCTCTGTACTTCAAATCACCCCCTGATCGGCTTTGAGCCATCAGCCTCGTTTTCACAACGTCGAAAGGTCCAGTGCATATAGGACCAGCTGTCCCTGCAAGGAAACCCGAAATCATAGACTGCCATGGCTGAAGGACATTCCCATTATCAAATGCATTCTTGGCTGTGAACATTGCCGCCTGGTTCGTCCCATTTCGCATAACTGTTGGGGCAGCCCCTGCCCACAGACCACGAATCCCGTTTTCACGAACAATCATTCGGGCACAGTGTATACTGTATAGGCCCCTTGTACTTCAGGAGCTCAGGGCTTAAACCTCTCTGCTGTTGTAGTCGGATTTTCACCACCTACATCAACATAACTAGCTGAGCTATCGACCTTAGACACAATAGAGATGTGACTTAGGGCCGCAATGATCAGAACCAAAAGACCAGCAAATCAAACTACATCTGAAATGAAAGACTAAATACGCATGTCTACATGCAACTTGAGAGACCCGAGATAGAAGCAAGAGATTCAAATAAAAGCTTAATTTGCAGCTACGATGATAAAAGAAGGTTCTTTAGTAATGAAAACCTTGCAATCAATAATAGATAAGTGAATTTCCCTCTTCAATCATATAGTTAGTCAAAGAATGCTGAATTTCACATTACACTGAAATTTAAAAGATTTCAAATATTTTGATAATCCAAATATTGAGTTATATCGTGATGATACCCTAGAGCATATCTATACTTTGTGGACAAATTGGAGGTCACTTTTGAATATAAAATTTCTGAGACCTTGCATCAAGTAAGACCGAGGGTTTAAAAAGTGTTCCACCTGGAGTAGATGTTGAAGATTGGAAGTGGTTTGTCACTAACAAATTTATGACAGAAAAGTTTCAAGTATGTTGATCTGATATGGTAATGACGGTTTTATATATTATAAAAAAATATTTTTTATTTAAATAATCACTTACATTTGAAAGTTATGCAGAAAATCAGTTAGCAAAACACTAAGAATAGGTCAACATCAGATATGGGAATGCCTATCGCACAGGGAGTAACCCACATAGAGAAATCATATTGAAAATGTACCAAAAAAAAAACAGTTCTGCTAGTTATATATGAATTTTTTTTTCTTTTTTACCTAGAATGACATTTGTTTTTCTCAACTTATTGGGAGGTAAAGATTCACAACCGCCTGACTTGGGAGTAATTTTCTTAAAGACTAGAAGCAAAATTGAAAAATTAAATGGGACAAAAGAAGAAGAAAAATATGTAAGCTAAGTGTCATTATTTAGCCTTTCTGCATTAATCTTTTTATCTTGATATACTTCTGCATTAATCTTGTTTACTTGTAAACTTTTTATAGAATGAAATTGTGAAGATTATTAGGTCTAACCCATCACTTTCAAACCTTGAAATTGTTGAAAAACATTTTGGACAACAACGTCATGGTCATGTATAT